TCTGGTCATGTGCTTTCTTCTCATTTCTTTAAGCTGTTTGGTGGCATCTAGTTTGCTTTCGAAGGTATAATACAGTTTGAAATTCATCGTTGTCCTAGCTATCTAAATGTATTTACCTTACTTTGAATGATAGCTAAAGACTGTTAGGATTCTAAAGCCAAATATTTGATAGATTGAAAAGACAGATTTAACCCATGAGAAACAGAGAGCAGTTAGGGCTTTTGGTTTCTCGTATTTACACAAGCCCTGTCAAATTGTTTATGTAAAGAAGACCTTTTATGTGTGACAGTTGAAATTTGTCGTTAACTCTGAATGACCTAAAAAATAGCAATTCCAGTAAATACTAACCATTTTTTTCTATTTCTATTCAGAGCACTAAAACAATGAGACTATTCAAATTAAAGCAATTCTCTACTCATATTTTTATATCCATTCTATCTCTTTCTCCATCCTTCTCAACTTTCACCAAGTTCACAAGTATATAGAGCTCTTATCCTCAGTGTCTAAGCCAATGCCTGATACTATTACGTACCATGTGCATTAACTATGATTCCACTAAAATATCCATTGTAATAGTCATAGAATCTTAGAGTTTAAAGGACTCTTAGTGATCTCCTCATCCAGATGATTGTTTTACAGATGAGAAAACTGAGGCCCCCTAAATGAGAAGTGACTTTCCAAGGTGCCACAACTAATGAGAAAAAGAACTGAGTTTCCCTGTGACCAACTCCATTTACATCACATTCTACCACCCAGACCTGCCTCTATATACATATACCACAGAGTTCTCCTGAAAAAAGAAAAAAGCAGATAAAAGTGAATTTTTGAAAAAGTGACCCCAAAAAGTCAGATAAAAGTAAAAAAACAAAAGTATAAAGCATGTCATCCCTTCCCTATTTGCACCGACATCTCTAACCACAGATACACACACGCACACCATATGCAAAGATAGTCACCATAATTGACTTCGGTTTTCACCTTATAGTCAATGTTAGAAGCAGGGGATAACGTAAGCCCTGGTGGGAAGACCATCCATTGAGTTCTTTGTGAGTCAAAATTCTTCAGCCCACAACAGTGAAATGAAGGTAAATATAAATGAATAACAATTCTAACAAAAAGAGTTTTTTGATTCAAATCCATAAGTTTGAACTTTTCCAGCTTATTATCCATTTCCTTAAATCCCATAGCTTATTAGAGTTAACATCAGAGGGAGGTAAAATATTTCTGTGATATTCTTTGTATAAAATCTGCACTTTGAAATGGATTAGTAACCTGTGAACAATACATATTTTAGTTAAGATATAAATTATGTGAGCAAAGTGGTTTTCAGTGTTTACTTTTCTTATTTTAGTTTTGAACCTATCTTAAATTCACAGACTTGTAGAAGAAATCTCTAATGCAGTATTTGTTAGGGGTTCACTCTTACCCTATTACAGCTTTAATTAGTGACATCCCAGTGCTGTTACAGCATAGCAGTGTTTTAACATGTAATCTACTTGAGATAACACATTTGTAAAATAATTACTAGAAGGTAAACTTACGTTAATGTCCTGTGTGGTTTCTACAAAGTGTCTCATTATAGACCTCTTGGCCACTAGATATTTTAAGATTAAAAAAAAAAAATTAAGGAAGAATATACCGAGGGGAAAAATGTAAAAAGAGAAGCCTGTTTCTGAAGAATGGATGTTACTGCCATTACCATGTCCTGGGAATACCTATGGAGCTCTGGTGCTAAGCCTGCCAAAAGACCCGGAAGCCCTCCAGCACATGTTTAATTCTCCAACCCAATAATGACTGATTTGTTAAATCACTGAAAGAATCATCACTTTAAAATATTTCACCTGGAAGCCTTTTAAACATTTCCAAAGCAAGGATAAACAACATCCCTTATGCAATGACCTGATTTTTGTTGATGAAATGTATTGCATGAAGGACCCATGCGGCTGCATTGGCTGCTGTGGTTGTGTACTTCCGCCCTCTGGTGGATTCTTTAGGAACAGCTTAAGTGTGTCTGGCAACCCTCAATACAGTGGGCTTTGGAAGCCAAAAAGTGGATCCTAGCACACCAATACAGTGACTAGAAGGGTTTCCATTTCTTACAAGACATGAATATCAGAGTGAACAAACATGTGGATCTAGTGTTCTGAAATGGTATTTCAACTGCTAAGAATTTTCATATTTCTCTTAAACGAGGAAAGAGAAAATAATTTTATTAAAAGGAAATTAAAATAATCTTTAACCCACTTAAACCCGTACCAGGAATTTTATTGTTCATTATAGCTCAAGTTTTTGCTTCTGATTTTCTTTCTTATAGGCCACATTTTCAACTTTATTTCTAAAGTGATAAAGATGATAATCACTCATTGTTCATCATTGTTGATTTGAAACCTCTGCAAATCAAGTGAAGATGTTCAAAAATAATTCTTACAACTTGGTACATAGAGGACCCACTACTTTTAAATGAACAGATTTTGATTTTTCTATAAATGTTTTACATAAACGTAAATATAAAACAAAAAAGCATTTTGTGTTTTCCTGAAGGTTGCCCTTGATCAAAAACCATTCATAGTTAAAGCTTTTGATATGATACTAAAATTCTTCCATTGACACAATGTGAATTTGGATTTTGGGAATTCTGCCTCCAGTTTGCAAAGATATTAATATAAAATGTTATGCAAAATATGAGAGTCTTCTCCCAAACCATGCTAAGATCATTATTGCCCTAGTTGATGCCCTACTACATTTGCTGCGGGTGGAAGTTTTCTTTTTTCTTTTTTTCTTTTTTGATTGGGATTATTTTAACCAAGTAGTTAGATTTTTTCTTTTCTATGTTAGGAAAGTGGCAAAACCACACACACTTACAAAAATAGCAGCATAATAATTCTTGGCATTTCTCTGACAGGTTTATTCTAAGTTACTGTAAGTGTTCTTATAGACATTATCTCATTATTCTTCAAGATGTTGCAGTTCTGTTAGTGGCAGGCATGGTTATTTGCATTTTGCAGATGGAAAAACTGAGGCTGTGTCTACACTGCAAAGTGGAATACATAATTAATGGAACTACCCAGATAATTCTGGCTCACAGATATGACAGCTGAAATATTTGTGCAACTGAAGCAGAAAACATTTGAGAAGTCTTTGTTCATAGAATTGGTGCCTTAGTGAAATGCTTCAACTGATCAGAACAAAGGCAACCCACAGAATCCTTCCTTGATTTATTTCATTACATTGAAAGTACAGAATAAGTAGAACAGGGGACAGTGTCCAGATATGGCCTAATGATGAGAAATGTGTAAATGTTACATCAGATTGTCACATGACTTGGTGAAAGATTGATCAGTGTTTAGTGGCATCTATATCTGCATAAGCACAACAAAATTTATTCCACTCAATTCAGCAAACATACCTTGAACCCGTAGTATGTTCTGGGTTCCAGAGCCAGTAATGAGAATACAAAAGAGTTCATAATGAGGTGAAAACCAAATATTATGCAGAGGATGAAACAGTACCTGAGGGTCTGGGCAAAGCTATTCAAGAGTGAAGGAGAGGGGACAATGAATTATGCCTCCAGCATGTGCACCAGGTGGTGGTTACGAAGGATATGGAGAAAGAAGACTTTCCGAAGTAGGAGAAGTTTGCCTAGGAGTTTGAAAGAGAAGCAAGATTTTATCAGAGGGGGAAAAGCATCCCAGTTGGGATGTGGGAAGAGTGTACTTGAAGAATAGAAAATTGTCCATCAAAACTATAACATAAAGTATATACAGGGTGTATGCAGAGAGTAGAGGATGGGAGTGTTATACAAAGGCAGAGATGTGGCATTGAGTAAGGGAGCCACACATGCATAAGCTATGCATTTCCAATATTCACAGCATTATTAGGCCACTTAGAGAGAGAGGCTCATGGAATTAATTTGGTTAAGGATTTCAGCCACATCCAGGACTGAAGCCAAAGTGACATGACTGATCCTAGCCCAGTGCGGCTGTGGGAGCTGTGGATTATTTGCAGTACCACTGATATTCACATGCATGGCACAGCAAAGCTCTCCAAGAGACCCTCCGCTCCACATTTGAATGAAAGAAAAATAAGAGGGCATTTTTATAGGTGTAACTTTTTTTGTTTTTGAGACAGAGTCTTACTCTGTCACCCAGGCTAGAGTGCAGTGGCGTGATCTTGGCTCACTGCAACTTCCGCCTCCCAGGTTCAAGCGATTCTCCTGCCTCAGCCTCCTGAGTAGCTGGGGTTACAGGCATCTGCCATCGCACCCGCCTAATTTTTTTGTATTTTTCGTAGAGACAGGGTTTTACCATCTTGGCCAGACCATTCTTGATCTCCTTGACCTTTTGATCCACCCGCCTCGGCCTTCCAAGGTGCTGGGATTACAGGCGTGAGCCACTGCACCCGGCCAGGTGTAACTTTGAATCCATCCATGGTTGACTCTAAAACGGAGCAACTCACAAACTGGGTATTTTATTAAATTTTAGAAACAAATCACTCCCAGCACACTTCTTACTAATGGCGGAGAACATTCATTCAACACATTGACCACCTACTATGTGCCCCATAGACCTAGACAGACAAGATATCTGCTCTCCCAGAGTTTACAAGAAAGGGGGAAAGGTCAATGTTCAACAAATATCCATAGAAAATGCAATTAGAATTTATTTATTTATTTGTTTATTTGTTTATTTATTTATTTATTTTGAGATGGAGTCTTGCACTGTAGCCCAGGCTGGAGTGCAGTGGTGCGATCTTTGCTCATTGCAACCTCCACCTCCTGGGTTCAAGTGATTCTCTTGCCTCAGCCTCCTGAGTAGCTGGGATTATAGACACGCACCACCACGCCCAGCTAATTTTTGTATTTTTAGTAAAGATGGGGTTTCGCCATGTTGGGCAGGCTGGTCTTGAACTCCTGACCTCAGGTGATCCACCCGCCTCGGCCTCCCAAAGTTTTTGGATTACAGGTGTGAGCCACCGTGCTCGGCCATTTTTTTTATGAGTACAGGTTGAGTACTCCTTGATTCAAAATGCTTGGTACCAGAAATATTTCAGATTTTGGATTTTTTTTTTTTGGATTTTAGAATATTTGGATTACATTAACTAGTTGAGCACCCCAAATTTGAAAATCTGAAATCTGAAATGCTCCAAGAAGCATTTTCTTTGAGGGGCATGTTAGCACTCGAAAAGTTTTGGATTTTAGAGCGTTTTGGGTTCAGATTTTCAGACTTGGAATGCTCAACCTGTACTATGAATGAAAAAGTAGAGTTCAGTGAGATTAAAAATAGAAACTGACTTGATGGCATGGGGAGGTAGGTAAAATAACAACTGAGCATTTTCTAAAGAAGTGACATATACCCTGAGATCTGGAAGATGAAAAAAGTGAGGTGAAGATTATTCTAGGCCAAGGGGACAGCTTGTGGGAAGCTCAAAAATAGAACAAATGTGTAATGTGTTCAGTTCAAAGAAAAGAAAAATTAATCTGTCTGTATCATGGTGCCAGGGAAGAGAGGTGTAGGAGGGCCTGGGGAGGTAGTCAGAGACTAGACCACAGGGGACCTTTATCCTAAAAGCAATGAGAAACCACTGAATGGTTTCCAGCGGAGGAGTGGCCAGGCCTGCATTTGGAAAGATCTACTCTGCCAGCAGCTGGAGAATGAACTAAGGAGGGACGAGAATGGAAGCAGGAAGACCACGTAGGATGTTATCACATAGCCCAGCCTAGAGATAATGGTGACCAGGACTTCAGATGTGGCAGTTGTGACGGACAAACAGATGACTGCAAGCTGCATGCTAGAAGCAGGATTGCTTTGGCTGATTGGTGAGCTGGACCTGGGAAGTTCACAAGGGGAAGGGGTATCAGGCCTAACTTTCAGTTCAGACTAGAGCTCTACTTAGATGGTGATGCCCATCAGGTATCTCCTGAGGTGTAGAAAGTTTCTCCCATCCAAGTCCTAACCAGGCCCGACCCTGCTTAGCTTCAGAGATCAGATAAGATCAGGCGCTTTCAGGGTGGTGTGGCCATAGACCGAGGCGTAGAAAGTTTCTGTGAAAAGATCAAAGTTCGGCCCTGTTCCATTTGATACACTTATGAGACATCCAAGCAGAGAGGTGAGGGGGGCATTTAGAGGAAAGGACCTAGAACGTGAAGAAATCTGCATGGGATACACAAACATGGAAGCTCCTGGAATCCAAACCCATGAAGTGAATGATACACCACAGGAAATGCAGCATAGATGAAAAGGACACATGACTGAGTCCTGAGGAACTCCAGCATAGAGAGAGTGAGTTCAGGGAAGGAAGGTTGTTCAGCAAAGTAGACAAAGGGACTTGCCAGAAAGAAAAATGTGTGTGTGTGTGTGTGTGTGTGTGTGTGAGTGTGATCAAAAATCTAAGGGAAGACAGTGGCTTCCGATGGAGGGAAGGGCGGAGTGCTGAATGCTGCTGAGAATCAGGAACAGTGAGGTGAGGATGGGAGAGTTCCTGCTGGCTGCAGCAATATGGGATTTTCCTGGTGATTGGCATTCACAATTTAAGTGCAGAGGTCAAATGAAAGCCAAATTGAAGAGGAATGAACACTCAGTAGGGATAGGGAAGTAAACATTTATGTGCAGGTAGATTTCCAGAAGTTTGATTGTGAAGATGAGAGAATAGGGCTGGAGAAAGGTTTAAGTTGGATGTATTGGCCCACATTTGTTGAAGACTATGGCTGTAGCCCAGTTAAATAGCCCCCTTTCCTGACTAGGTCATGTTAGCTTGATCAAAATGTAGTTCAGGCAAAAAGTTGCCCTCTAGCGTGAACAGCTCCACAGAGAATGAAGACCTACACATCTCAGATTCTCCAACTAATATCTCAGAAGTCAGTTCTGAAACTCTAAGAGGGCATTCCTATATTCACAAGAAACTACTTCTCAGGCACCTACATGACACGCAGTCTTCAGTGATCTAAATCCTTGTATTACTTTTTTTTTCATGGAACTGAACCAGTAGCAGATAATTCCCCCAAAGCTTTCAATACAGTTTTCTTTCAGTTCTCCACAACATGCATGAATATAATATTCATGGTCAGAGTTTCCTGATGCGTGTATGTTAATTATGACCACCACAAGTAAGACAGCTATTTCTAAGAAAGGGTTGAAATCGCCCCTCCCACCTCCTACCTCCCCACTCAGACACCAACTTGAGATATCCTAGTTTTGCCAGAAATCCTCCTCAGGGATCACCTTGTAGTAGTCATGACAAAATTCCTTAGCCCCGGTCCTAACTCAGCTGCAACTCTGCATTATTTTGCCTCTACAGTGTTTAGGCTTTATTGCCAGGCACTACTCCTTTATCACAATGAATCTTACAACAGAGAGAAGACCATGTGCTCATACAGGTCATTCCCTGTAAGAACCTCAGTCTTCCTAGGTGATTGGGCTTGCAAGCAGTAATCTAAAATTTACCCATCCTGCCCTGCAAGTTTCTGATTTGGAGAATATCTTAAATCTTAAATACTGTTCTTATTTTCATACCATTGTTGACACAAAACATTTACAGTCAAACAAACAAGTAAACTTTTAATGCAGGAAGTTCAGTGTATTCTACTGAATATAAAAGATGACCTGGATTTAGGAAGAGAATTCTATTTCTACCCTTCCCCTTGACCCACACCATGCATGACCTTGGAGGAGTTACTATGCCTCAGATTTTTCATCTGTAAAATACCTACTTCCTACCTTGGAGGATTAACTTGATAATGTCTGTAAAATACTTTGAGGTCTTAGAGGAAGGACACCACAGCATTATCACATGTCATTCTTATTAGAATCATGTCGATGCATATGAATAGAAAGTGTGGACAGTGGTCTAAGGAGTGAGCTTGGAATAATACTGGCTTAAAATAAGTCTGATATATTTGTGTCTGTACTGACAATGTGAATGGCCCTAAAAGACTGTGTTAACTAACCCTACTTATTTCTGGTTGTGCTTCAATCTCACTTTGAATGTTAACTCTAAACCGCTAACCTGTTTCTTTCCCTTTATTCACTTTTTCCACCCACCATTGCATGACATCAGGGTCAGTTTTGTGCATGACACCCGCTACCAGTATTGGTAGGTTTCAACCTTTTTTATTTGTCTTTTATATGATGTACAATACCTTCACTTGCTTGAAATTTATTTCAGAGATGGTAGAAATGCTACAGGAAGTAGTAGATTTGAAGGCTTATTTGGCTTTAGAGTTAACATATAGGTTTTTAAAAATGTACTTGTATATTTAAGAAAATGACGGTTTTAATGTGACCTCTTGTGCTAGAACAATCACTACAAAAACATAAAGCCACAAGTACGAGTCTGCTTTTTAATGATTTGTGTTTTGTTTCTCTTTATAGTTTATATGGTATAGCGTAAGGAACAGAGCTTACTCTATCAGCGAGGCAGGCTAATTTCATCAATGTTTGAAAGTTTCATAGTGGTGTGCCTTTATCTCCTCTTTGCTGTGTGTTAGAGCGATCAGAGTTTCCCAGAAGTATTCATTTTTTACAAATTATAAATGGATATATTTTGAAACGAATGTCTGAGCTTCTTAACTTAATTATCTTTTCTAATTTTAAGTGTTGATTTATTTGGCATGATTTTTCTGGACCTCAGCATTCCCTTAGCCATTCAATTTTAATAGCAGATAGTTGTCTTCACACACATGAATGCCTTGGTACAAACGTCTGTCTTTAAGACATGTGGATTAGATCTATTTAGAGTCAAGAAAAAGGAACATTGCAAATTTTGCCTGGCTATTTCAGAGTAACTGTGTTATAATTTGCATCAAGGCTATGATGTTTGCTCCATCGTTTATTGATTCAAATAAACCACAACCCACAGCAGTTCCATTTCATGTAAGCAGTTCCAAATTGAAAAAAAAAATTCAATTTCACCATAATTCCAAAGAACATCCTATCCCAAATTAGGCCTCCATATAGAGATTTGGATGTCTCAGAATTTATGATTAAAAGTGATGATCACATATTTTTGCTTCATCAGACATCACCTTTCACAATTTTAGAAACAACCATTATTACATACACCGTATACTCTGAATTGGGAATGGATCTATTGTTAGAAGTAAAATGTTTGTAAATACATCAACCAAAGTAATCTGCTTTGGCCTTTCTGGGAATCACTGATTATGTTTTAAAACTTCCTTTAATTGTACTTGTAATAAGCTATTTTCCCTTTTTTATTTCTCTCCCATGCTTCCTTGCTTTGCATTGTGATTGCATGCCATCTGCTGGTTTAACCCATGATGGCTTGCTGCTCTGATATTCACCATGCCAAAATACCACTTCTATTACCATAATGCTACACCCTCCTGTTCATTGCTCCCATGGTTCCCCTCCTGAAAGTACCCATGATGCACAGCGCTACGTCCGCCACTGTCTCTGCAGCAACAACTCCTGCAACAAGTGTCCCCTTCGCAGCAACAGCCACAGCCAATCAGGTTTGCTCCTTTTAAAGCTTTCTTTCACAAATCCCAAACTCTAAATGAGTGCTGATATTTAAAAAAAAAATTCTCAGTGAGAATTTTTTTTTCATGTTTATCCATCAAATTTTATTTTTTTAATTAGTTTATAGCAAGCATTTTACAGACAGGTTGCACTTATTTAGAGTTAACATTTACTGCAAATAATGATGTAGCTATGTTTTGTGTTGCACTGTTTGTTTTCGTACCTAATATTGTGTAATTAACCTGACAGGCTTAAATTCCTTTTAGTACAGCATTACCTATCCAGTGGTTTGTGAATGGCCACATAAAAATCGTAGATGCGCACCCATGGGTGCTTCAAAACTGGCTCTATTTTAATTCGGTTCATTCAGACCCCATCATCTGTGTGGAGGAAGAAATTCTCCTCTTAGAAAGTCTTCCCTTTGGCCTAAGTGTCATATTTGAGGTCTGAATAATTCTTATGATCATTTGACCTCGGTCTTAGGTTCTGCCAAACTCACTTGGCTCCCACTTCACAATCTGCTCCAATACTGGCCTAAGAGCCAAACCATCCAGAATGAAGAGTCATGGGTGCCGCTGAACTCACAAAGGCTGGATATAACTGATGAGGAGCGTTTAACTCTGTTGGTTTAATGCATGTGCCAGTGAGACCATGGATGTACTATTTCGTAGTGACAGCCAGCTGCTATTTCCTACTCTATGGTCACAAGCTGACTGTATTCCTGACCCTAGCCTCCCAACTTGCAAACATGTGCTTCTAGCCACAAGGAGACAGCGTGAGGGTGAATGAGCAGAAACTCTCACCTCGCCTGGGAAAATACTTCATTGCGCATGCCCTCCCTTCACAGTAGAACAATTTTGGTTTGGTTTTTAGTTTTGTTTCATGGGTTTTTAAAAATAAAATCAGCTCTGCTAATAAAAGATGACAAGGGATAAAAGAAACTAGGGGAAATTGTGTTGGGGGATCATGGCAGTCCCAACCCGCATTCTGCAGGCTGGGAGGGCTGAGTCATGCTGCTTTCCACGTTCAAGTGAATCCACGATTCCAGCTCTGCAGGTTTCATCTCTACAAAGAGAGGCGTGAGTGGACAGGAATGCAGGAATAAAAGTTAAACCCCGTGACAGTGCTGACTGTGCCCTCAGCATTGTGACAGAGCAGGAGAGAGCAGAGAGTCGGGGAGGGAGGAGAGGCTGAACAGCAGTGCAGAGGCAGGTGTCAATCAACTGTGGACGATTCTTCAGCAATTCACTCCCACCTCTAAAATGCCAACCCGTCCTCCGAGGAAAGCCAACCCAGCTTCGAAACAAACAGAACAAAGAGCAGGCAAGGATGAGTTCCTTAGCTGGGAAGACGGTGATGATGATGATGATGATGATTTAATGTGGGATGGGAGAAGGGAGAGAGACTGCATCTTTCCATTATTAGGTCCAAAGCTCTTCTCAATCATTCACTCTCAATAGGGAAGCTGGATACATGTTTCTTTCAAGTCTTAAGTCCTGCCTCCTTGAACTATGTTTAGTGATTTTTGACCCAATCTTTGTTACAAAGTGCTTTTATAAGAAAGTTTGGACTGAGTGCAGCGCCTCATGCTTGTAATCCCAGCACTCTGGGAGGCCGAGGGAGGAGCATCACTTGAGCCCAGGAGTTGGAGACCAGCCTGAACAACATGGTAAAATCTGGTCCGTACAAAAATACGAAAAAAAAAAACAGCCAGCATGATGCCATACACCTGTAGTCCCAGCTACTTGGGAGGCTGAGGTGGGAGGATCACCTGAGCCCAGGGAGGTTGAGGCTGCAGTGAGCCATGATAGTGCCATGGCACTCTAGCCTGGGTGACAGAGTGAGACCCTGTCTCAAAATAAAATACAAGTTTGAAGTATAATATAGTAGTATTTGTTACAGTGAAATTCTATATGGTAAGTTTAGCCTTTTGGGCACTTAGAGATCTTTTTTAAGAAAGGAAAAGAAGCCAAGATAAAGAAACACTTTAGAGTTGTAGGATAAATTATTTTATCATGATAAATATTTGACCATGTGTCATATATATCATTCAAGCCTAGTGATTCTTTGGCTCCGTTTGGTAGAAAAAAACTTTGAGAGATTCCATACGTATATTCAAGTTTCTCTCTCTCTCTCTCTGTGTGTGTGTGTGTGTGTGTGTGTGTGTGTGTGTGTGTTTCTAGGGAGGCAGAGGTTGGAAGCATGGAATATTCAGAAGCTAAAATACATCACTTTCAGGCAGGGTGTGAATGGAAAAGGAAATACATTGAAGTTTCAACTTCTTTAATTGCAAGCGTAGCTGAAGTTTCATTTCAATTTAATCCAAAGAAATATAATTAAAGGAGTACCTGACAGTAGCTTCAAGAATCCTATATTCTGTGTTTTGCAGTTTATCAGATGTAGTAGTTGCTGCTGGATTCCACTTAAATGATGAAGAGAAATCCTTTAGCAGCTCTTGATGCAAGTCTGCTTGCACATGAAAAACATGAAAAAATAAATTATAGTGAACACAAATTTCCAGATATGATATTCTTTATGTATTTTCAATAGGTTTCAAAGAGCAAAGCATTGACAAAAGACCTTGGCAATTCTTTTAACATCCAATCATAGGAAACCCAGAGCTTGTTAATGACTAAAATAACAAGTTATCATCTTGTTAAGATTTCACTCTTTAAACTCAAATAGAATCATACCCATGTGGATTATATAAGTCATTTAAACATAATGAATCTCAGTTTCCTCATTTGTGAAAGGAGGAGTAGAACTAGATGCCCCTGGAGTCCCTCTCAGCTTTGAGATTCAGTGAACCAAAGGTTCAGTGACTATTGTTTTAGGCCCAAAGCATGAGATTACAAAGATAAACATAAATAGAATGGAAAGTGGAACTAATGATTCCAGAGTTCAGTGACTGATAAGCACCCTGCCTTCTTTTCTGTCTTTAACACAAAATGTAGTTGGATTTTGACAGATTTTTTGTTAATTTGATCAATTCAGACTGTCAGTTCAAATATTTAAAAATCTCATAAGCATTTGTAATTACATACAAATCATTTATTGAAGAAAGAGGATAGGTTTAAACATCCCATGACAGCTTCTTAGGTCCAGTGCAATTTACACGTTACCCCATGGTGAGCCAAGCTGAACAAGCTGCTCTATCCTCAGGCTGAATCAAAGTGCCACCAATAACAGTTTTCACTGAACTTGGACTGGTGGTTTGAGATTAAATAAGGACAGAATTCAAATATATTTGGGAAATACAAAATGTTTTTTGATTGTTTAGCTTTAGGAACAGATAAGGAAACAAAAATATAATAAACAAATTTACTAAGCACTCTTTTCTGTTTCAATTAAGGTATTTGGGCCTTAACAGACAAATTATACCTAATAGTAATAATATGATTATTATAAACCTCTTATTATGTGCCAGGTATGATTCTAAATGGTCTCTCTCAGGTAATATATTACATATCATATTATACATTCTATTATATACTGTGTAAGAGAGGATACTTATGTATAGATGTAGACACTCAATTCTTCACAATAGTTTTATGAGATGGGTGCAATGATCATCACCCGCATTTGATAGGTGGTAAAACTGAAACAAAAGTTAGCTACCTCAGCCAAAGTCAGACAGCTTCTCCATGGTCTTGCTGGAGTTTAAACCTGACTCCAGAAGACCTGATTTAACCGTGATGGTACACTGCCTTAGCAGCTCAAGCTAAGATGAATCCTACACTGGAGAGATGAGCTGGATTTGAACAGAGCCTTGAGCTAGCTATGTAAAGTAGCCAGGTCATCTTTAGAAACCATATAAAAGGCCAGGCGCAGTGGCTCATGCCTGTAATCCCAGCACTTTGGGAGGCCAAGGTGGGCAGATCACCTGAGGTTGGGCGTTCGAGACCAGCCTGACCAACGTGGAGAAACCCTGTCTCTACTAAAAATACAAAATTAGCCAGGCATGGTGGCACATGCCTGTAATCCCAGCTACTCAGGAGGGTGAGGCAGGAGAATCGCTTGAATCCAGGAGGCAGAGTTTGCTATGAACTGAGATCACGCAACTGCACTCCAGCCTGGCCAAGAAGAGCGAAACTCTGTCTCAAAAAAAAAAGAAAGAAAGAAAGAAACCATATAATGGACCTTATTATTTCAGTGTGATAAAATAACCAGTGAAAATTATCAATAATTTTTATAGAAGTAAGATAGCCTAAGAAAAAATTAGTCCTTTGTCTTAGGGAAACAGGTTCATGGGTTTCTTTTGTCATAGACTTTGTTCCTAACCTCTACTAATCATCTCAGAAATAGCTTGTTAACAAAAAAAAATTGGTTGGCGGGGGGAAATGATAGGTAGCATGTAAATTAGTCAATTTGAGTCCATTGACCAAGGACCAGAATGTGTAAATCTGTCAAAGATGCCTATATTGAAACAAATTTAATCTTAGAATGTACATTAAGAGAGGTAAAGCTTAGTAATGGATTACCTGTTTTTTCATAAGAAAAGAAATTTTAATAAAATGAGAGTGCAGAGTAAAATTCCTGAGCTCAAATTATTATAATATTCTAAGTTGTAATTTGTTTAGTATTTTTTATTTCAAAGTTATATTCTATTTCAAAGGGAGATAAAACAATTTTCAAATAAATACATTTTAAGTTTCTTCATTTATATACAGAGATCATTTAATTTACTTAATAACACTCTTAAAGGCACAATTAAAATACAATTTATCCTCTGAATCTTTCCCTGAACATCTCTCTCCTCCTCCCCCAGCAAGAAGTACTTTCCCTGTCCTCTGAATTCTACAAGGACTTTGCACATTCCTTAAGGCACTATCATTAAATAGAAAGACAAATGCAAGTCTACAAAGAAAGCTGGGGCAGCATCGAGTTTAGCTGGAGAATAACTCCCATTCAGATTGATCAGAGCATCTGTTTGTGGGAGCGGCTGCAGCGTAGGTTTGATTCTGATTGTGTGGGACCTTGATACCGAGTTAAAGGGTTCGGCCCTGAGTTGGCCACTGCAGGATTTTCAAGCAGGATAGTGATGGAAACGGTACTCTAGGAAGAGAAAGCAGATGGATTCGAGGCGGGAGAGTCTGTGGAGGCCATTAAGAGGTTTTAACAAGAGCCTAAACTGGGACAATGGCAGCTGGCACGTGGCCTACTTTGTCTTGCCTTTGCCCATTACAAAGGGAGTGTTACTTTTGGCAAAAGAGAAACATGAAATGATTTCATACTATGGCAAAACCTGTCTAAATAAATGTCACGTGGTAGAAAGAGAGATTGAGGCTGCTGTGAAACTCAGTCCCTGCCAGCACAGCAGTCGGGTGGCCTCGCTGTTTGGACACCTGCAATGTGTTCACCTTTCACATGGGCCTTCCCATTTCCTACCTAAATGAGACTCAGAGCCACAAAAGCTCACCCCCTACCTCCAACCACAGGCTTCCGTTTGAAGGAAAGAGTCCCCTCAGGTGTAGAGTGAATGTATATTGTCCATGTCTCCAAATCAGAGCTCTATGGACAGTGAACAGATTATCCATCTAATTCATTCTGGCCCGTGAGTCCATGCTAGGGAAATAGATTCCTACGTATTAATATTGGGAATCTTTTTACAGAGCATCACAAGAAGTGCTTTAGAAGCTAATGAAATCAGATTATACTCTGGGCAATATGTTAACCAACACTTAATCACGTCTCCAAAAATGATGATTCATGTTTAATATTATGACCTCAAGGTCTTATCACATCTTCTGAACCCTCCTCCAAAGATTAAGTACATTCACCAGAGAGTTGGCCTTAGGAAGAACTTATTGGAAATTAGTTGATAATATGTCATATACATATAGCCCTCTATTTATATTTGATAAATTAGAAAATCTCATTTTCTAGACTTACCTGGCATAGTTTTATTATATATGATAATCAATTTCAATATCTTATCAGAAAGATAAAATAATTACATGTAACCAGACATATATTATGTTTTATTTGGCCTGCTATAAAGTATTGAAGAGGGAGGAGAAAAGCTTGTTTCTGACCTATAAACATGAACATAACTTTAAAGTTATTTGTATATGGATTCTTGGATATGTAAGTCCACCTGTACTAACCAAGAAGTCTAGAAAGGTAAGATTGTATTTTATTTCATCTCTCGTCTCAGAGTTTTATAAAACATCTATTATTCAATGCCATCTGTCTGGACTATATTCAGACAAATGTAGGAGGCATTAAACATTCCCCACTATTCACCACTTGACCCATTTTGGGGCCTGCATTTTGTTCACAAGAAAAATCTTGGTTCAGCAAGGCCCCAGTGTGGGAGGAGTAGGCTCCTGTCCTCTCTCTCTCTCCTGAAATACACGGTAAAGTGGCCGGCCTGTATGTATGGCTGATCAAACTGCGAAACACTCCTTTCTCGGAGTTTGCTTGTTCCTGGGAACAGATTACAGAAAGCAGCTGGGCCCCCCGTATGTTGTTCTCCAAAAAAGCAGAGACAGCAACTGTCAGAATCCAGCCCTTGTAAACAGTAATCTGGGCCGAGACTTCTCTCTCTCTGCCTCATACTGCCTAAGTCCTTTAGCCACCTCTAACTGCTTATATTCTAACTGTAGAGGGGGGATTCAGGTTGGAGAATGGATGTGGTTACTTCAGATGAGGCAGAATTGCCATATCAAATATTTTGCAGAGAAGGCAGGAGAGAGAGAGAGAGTAGAGAGAGATAGAAGGATTGAGATTGAAGGATTGAGATTGAAACCTCCTCAATTTCTTTGCGTAAAAAAATAAAACTATAAAAATTGCAGCATTTGCATTCAGTGAACGCTATTTGTTCAAGCTCCTTGGCAGTTTGAGGCTGAATTCCACTGTGTGCATGGCTAAAGATAGCAGAATCCAGACTTGCTTAGTATGCTAAAAAAAAAAAAAAAAAAAAAATTAAGGCTGGGAGGAGGTGGGGGGGTAGTCTATCTTAGGTGGTCTTGGATCTATGAGAACAACATAGATGCACATTAATTTTTCTCTTCAAGAAATTAGAAAATAAGTAGACAATAGACTTTTTATGTTCCTGCCTTGGCAGCAGCTGCTTTGCAGGCCGACCCTGAAGTTTAATTAATAAATGCATTTGCAGATTCTCTAAGAAAAGGCTCAGTTATGTAAGTGTTGTAATCTAGTACATTTTCATTTTTCATGAATAATTTACACCTCTTGGTGAGAAACTTGGGTAGAATTCTTTTGTATATAGCACATAGAGACATCATATTAGCTCCAATTCTGTGCAGCTGAAGAGAAAATGTCAAGAGTCCCTTATGCAGCACATTCCTGCCTGTGGATGGTCCTTCGCATGACACCTCACATCCCATCCTCCTTTGCTTTTTTTTTTTTTTTTGAGATGGAGCCTTGCCCTGTCACCTATGCTAGAGTGCAATGGTTCAATCTTGGCTCACTGCAACCTCCGCCTCCTGGATTCAAATGAT